TCTCTATCTCTCTCTCTTTCTCTCCCTCCTTCTATTCTACAGACCATGAGGGATCCTCTTCAAAAAGAGGAATATCAATCTCTAGAATAGAAGCTTCCCCACAGAGTACACATTCCACTTGAGCCAAATCACTTGTACACGTCACTCCCTCAAGAAACTGCCGTGGTAGACCCTCATCAGAGAAAAAAGCCTCAAGTCCACCAATCTCTTCAAGTCTCGATACCGCACAGGCCTCATGAACAGCATGTCGACAATTTGGATAAATCCAATATGGTGCGGATCCCTGAAGAAGACCACGATGACACAATAAACAACATTGTCTAGCAGTTACATATCCAAAACGATTTTGTAATTGAGATATTTCCTGTTTTAAACCTTCTGATATTTGATTTGCCTCCACTTGTTGTTCTTTCAATACTCTAATGGTAGAAGTATATGCATCTAAACTTTTACATATCGCATCCTTAAAATTCTGAAGTACATTACTATCACTAATATCACCTAGCACATCCTCCAGTTTTAATACACCTCCAGAATCTTCAACAACCGCAAGAGCCGCACGTGTATTATTTTTTTCCATCACATATTGAGCCACAATACGCCAAAGTTTCTTCAGTTTAGATGGTTCTACACTATCTGTAAGAGATTGTAATAATTCCTTTACCATTCGTAATGCTGGCCATTCTTCTTCAGATGGATTACTACCTTGACGCTGGGATGGGGCAGAACACTCTAATGCGATTCGAATAGCATCTTCGTAAAGATGTAATCGACGGTATAAACCAACACACTGACGATAACGACGAGCCTCCAGACAACGACGTAATGCAAAATCAACACTATAAAAAAGAGAAGATTCCAGAAACTCCTCAAGACGTTCACCATCATGTTGAGCAAGAAGACTTAAATAATAATTATGTACTACTGTAGATACACAATCAAACTTTGTAATACAGTGTTCAAGAAATATAATAACTTGATGTTCTTTATTATTTGGTTCTTCATTCATTTCAGGGGAATATTGAATAAAAACAGGAATAAGTCGTTCAAGTTGTAATAACATATATGGAGTTCCCTGTGCATCTCGTCCTACTGCTCGTAGCATCGCTCTAGTGAGTCGAATAGGACATTTTTTCACTAAAACAGGAGCAAATTCATACCAAATTTTAAGTGTATCTACACAACGTGCATAAGAAGCTAAAATATCAGCGGCTTGAATATATTCTCCTTGAGAAACATGATAGGTCACTAGATAATGTAATTTATTCATTTTTTCTGCATAGTGTAATGCCAGTTCAGGTCTACCTTGACTTTCTAAAAGTCGTCCAATAAGTTCAGCATAGGCGGTATTTTCAAACAAGTATGGTTGTTCTAAAATAGATTCTTCAAGAAATTTAGAAAGACTTGAAGAAGCTTCTGTACTTTTTTCTCCTCCTATTTCACTTCGAGTAATGCGATCGAGACGTTGAATAATAATAAGGGCTAAAAGGCAAGCTAATTGAGTGGCCATCTCTTTTTTATTTAATGCAAACTTTAATAACATTTTATATCGTTTCTCAACATACCATTGTAATACTTTATTATTTTGTAGAGAAACTAAAAATTGATAGACATCTTCAAAACGATCACAATCTGCTAATATATCCGTTGCATGACGAACAGCTCCAATTTGAAGAAAAAATTTACCACGTAAAAGTTGTACAAGATTTTTACAAGGTGAATTATATTTACAGAGTTGATAAGCAGCGTAAAAAAAACGTTTTCGTAGTAGTAAACTTTCATTCGTATTCATAGCTCTATAAAGGAATAAACGCCATTGTTGACGATGTTCTTGTTCCACATGTAATTCCCATAAATGTTTTTTTCCAAATATGTACATTTTACGAGCTGCCACATCTCTAATAATTCCAGAAAACTCTTGTGGATTTCTAGCACCACGAAAAGGATCAAATCGAATTTTTTCTTCAATTTCGCATGTATAAGGAAAATCTCCATGAAGTGTAGAAGAATAACTTCTCCAGGTAAGACCTGCTGGGTGATTTAAAACTACAAGACGATCATTATATAGTAAAACCATATGAAATGCAGTTAATAAAACTTCCATTGGCATTTTTTCTCGAGGTAAACTGTGACTATTATTATTATTATTATTATTATTATTATTATTATTATTAGATGTCGTTAAATTACCTGAAGAAGATGAAGGAGGAGGTACAGCAGCAACTCTAGCATTAGCATTAGTAGCGCTAGTAGTAGTAGTAGTAGTAGTAGTAGTAGTAGTACTAGAATGCTCAACTTGTTTAACTCTTGTTAATGCAAGAAGTTGTTCATTAATCACTGTATTTTGATCATTCCATCCAAATAATGTAGCTTCACTTTTGCATAAACCTTCTTCAATTGAACGATTAAATAATCCATGAACTATTCCACCAGTACTCGTCCAGGCATATGATTGTGCCGGCATTCCTTCACCTGGGCGATACATTGAAAATACTCCACGTGCTGATGAGTTTTGGGCATTAAATACTTCACGAAGATGTATAATATCAGGTTCTGCTCCAGCTCTATCTAATAATGTCGTTGGATAATCTACTTCACCTTCTATTCGGTAAAGTTTACTAGGAGTTGAAATAAATACGACCCAAAGTGAGTTTACACGTTCTGCTTGAATAGAAGAGACAGGAGTTTGAAAACTACTAGTAGGAAGTTGAAGACATTGACGACATACCGTTTTTACAGTTCCACTTTCCATTGGTACTTCCATTGTAACTTCAAATACAAAACCTCCAATTTTCGTTCCAATAAGACAACGTACTATTGTTGTTGTTGTTGATGTTGATGTTGAGTAAGTGGAATCTTCTGCTACTATTGCCTCGGAAGTTGTGGTGACTGCTGTGGTTGTTGTCATTGTAGTTCCTGTTACTTCTCCTTCTGAAGTAGGCAACCAATAGACACACTCTGCGACATTATTATTCGTCGTAAAGGAGGGAATAATCCCATCCCGCGTAAAGCCACGATGTTGGAGTGTAAAATGCCCCGTCACTCTCCGTCTGTGTGGGGAGTGGTAATAAACAACACCGTCCGTTGCGGCTGTGAGGGTGTGTGTGCCTGTGGGATCCACAAAGACACGATATGGATTGCGCACGGCGGCGGCGAGTGGCGGCCCATCGCGTCTGCCGTCCCGCAGGATGAGAGCGCCGCCGCTGCCGAGAAGCGCCATGACGTCCGACTGGCAGTCCGCGTGGAGGAGCGGCTCGCGGAGGTCGTGGACGACGGCGGTGAGTTCAAACTGCGGGGCGGCGGCCTCCTCGCCGGGGACTGTCGACTGGCGGTGGGCCGGCAGCGAAGAGGAGGAGGAGGAGGAGGAGCGGCTCATAACTACACTCCTTCGTAATAATAATAATAAAAGAAGAAGAGGAAGGAGGATTTTCCTTTTTCTTTTTTTTTTTTTTTTTGCTTCTCGTCGTTTATTCGGCTCTTCCTTTTTATGTATATTATGTATATCGGTATGTATGTATGTATGTAGAGGTTTGTTGTAACGGTGTGGGGTATGCACTGCTCCCCAGTTTACTACTTGCACGCTTGCAAGCTCTACTCCACACCTTACCTACACACTAGAAATGATTGTAGAAGGGATGGGGGAAAAAAAAAGAAGAAAAAAGCAATAAAACCGTTGAAATAACAATTTTAATTATTATTATTATTATTATGATTGTAAAAGCAAAAAAAAAAAAAAAAAAAAAAACATGGAAGCATAGTCAGTCACATACACAGAGAATGCAGAATACAGAAAAAAGTGTTACGCTTCCATCAACCTACATATTCTCTCTCCTATGGGAAATTAGGAAAATGAAGGAAACGAAAAACACTGAGAAGGTAAAGAAAGACGGAATAAAAACAATAATAATAATAATAGAAAAAAAAAAAAACAAGTTGGTACATCGACTCTTGTTACATATTTTCTGGCATACTACTCTTCTTTCCCATACAAGACAATAAAGACATAGAGTCAATAAAGAAAAAGAGAGTGACACAGGGAAGAAAAGGAGAAAGAAAGCAGTAGTAGCAGCAGCTCAGTAAATGAGGAAGAAGAATTTCAAAAAAAAAAAAAAAGAAGGAGGGGGGAGAAAACAGTCTATGAAAGTCTTTGCAGTCTTTCCTGCTATACGACGCCAGCAACACATCGGTAAGTTGTTTCCCCACGCAGTGCAAAATCTAAAAGAAGAGGAAATTAAGGAAATTAAGAAAAAAAAAAAGAAGACGTAGGAGGAAAAACAGTAAAAGCAAACAAGCAAAAAAGAAAAAAAAAAGAAATTAAGAGAGAAAAAAAAAAACACTGAGAATATAAACAGATAGAAAGAAAGAAAGGAGAGGAGGGGAATACATCCCTTCCCTTTTTTTTTCCTTCTTCACTTCCTCTCTTTACATTGTTATTTCCTTTCTCTCCTTT